AAGCCAGGAAATGTGCTCCTCGACTCAAACTTTTCTCCCAAAGTTGCGGATTTTGGGTTAGCGAAGCTTAGCAACAGAGATGCTACACACATTACAGTCACAGGATACAGGGGCACTCCGGGGTATGTAGCCCCAGAATTCATGCTAAAGAATTTCCCTATAACGTATAAATGCGACGTTTATAGCTTTGGTATTTTGCTATTCGAAATAGTTGGTAGAAGGAAAAATACGATAGTTGGAAGTACAGATAGTCTTGATTGGTTTCCCAAAAAGGTTTGGGAGGAATACGAGAAAGGGGAGCTCACAGCACTAACAGAAGCATATGGAATCGAGGAGAAAGATCGAGCCATGGCCGAGAAAATGTCTATGGTAGCCCTGTGGTGTGTTCAAGATTCACCAGAGGCTAGGCCACCTATGAGTGCTGTAGTGAAAATGCTGGAGGGAGGGGTCGAAATTAAGCCACCGCCTAAACCATTCCATTATTTGTTTTCAGTCGGGGTGCATGTGCTACCAAACAATAGCGGGAGTGATTCAACATATTCAACAAGTGGAACGAATTCTTATTGGTACAAGGAAACGACTCCAATAATGAAAAAGTATGAGATACAAATGGCGAGTGCGTGAAGAAGAAATTGGCATAGAGTATTTTATGTTGGTTGCAAAGAAAATTTGGTAAGTTTCATGTACCAAAACAAGAAAACAAATAAAAGGATTCAAGATATCCTATCAATGCTATCATAGTAAATCTGTTATATTGTAAGATTAGCTTGAAAATGGTAAGATTGATATAAGATTATTGCAATATATCACTCAACAACACCGCCTGTACACGAGTACACATGAGGTAAGATTACTAGACATTAAAAAGGCAACATCATGCAGTAAAGTGAGTTGAAATAAGAGTGTAAAACTTACTATGAGGAGGGAGTGCATCAGCTTCAGGGCCTGCATCATTTTTGCACAAAAATTTTCATTAGCACAAGAGCAGTTATGTAAGAAAATATTTTGGGATTTCTAAGATTTTGTTTTACACTAACGCGAGAAACAGTTTACTTTCCTTAGATCAATCTAACTTGACTATATAAATTTAGTTCTGCAATTAGAATCATACATCATAAATTCAGCAGGGGTCTTGTACAACAAGTTCCTATTGTTTTAAATTTTTAATACACAAGTAAGGAGCATAAGAACCAAATCGATTTTCTCTAGCTTTTCTGAGTACAACAGTACAAAGACATGGTTCCAGTTGATAACGGTGGCTTAAAACCAAATTTATAGATTTATTTACCTCCTAATCAGTGAACGTTGAAAAGAGAAAACACATGAACGTTCGGGAGGTATAAAAGGAGAAATTCTTGAATGCCAAAGGTAACTTTTTATCCTTATTTATGTTGAAATTCTAAGCAATGCCAAAGTGTCTGCATGCATTGTTGCTTATAAGAATGTTTTTTCTGGTTTGTAGCTAACTCAGGAAGGAGGGGTTTGAACTCACTGATGGTCTCCAAGAATAAAAATTTACATATACAACAAGATAAGGAGAGTAAATGTGAACAAATATACAGATATTGGCAAGTCAAGAAAAATACAATAATAAAGAAAAATGCATTATTTAGGGAACTACATAGAGACCAGGTATCTTCTGTAGAACATTTCAAACTTGGGTCGACTGGTCCTATTGATTAAGACAGAGGAAGATGTGTGGGAAACTGATAATAATCTATTTTACTAAAAAAGTCATAATTTAGATAAATCACTCCTCTACTATGAAAGAGATCACTCCATCACTGTTCATTTGATAAAGAGAGGATCACTCCATCGCTGTCCATTTGTGGATCATCCATTTCACACTCAGCTGGTTCCTATCTTGGTGTTTTTTTTTTTCTTTTTGCGTGCACAAATGGTTTGTAGACGTGTAATTTATTGGGAATACAAATCCAGGCGTGTACTGTAGCAACTTTCCTAGGTGTGAGAAGGAGGGGTGATTTTGTTTAGGGGTGTCCAAAAGTCTCGAACCGAACCGGATCGAACCGAACCCGAACCGAACCGAATCGAGCGGTTCTTCAAAAATTAAATACCCGAACGGGTACCCGAATCGAGAACCGATGGGTTTGGGTCGGGTCTCGGGTCTAGACCAAGAACCGAAGAACCGAATAAGAACCGAAACTAAATAATTTTTTTATTTTTTATATTGAATTAATTAAATTATTTTATTTTT